TTCCCACATGCACCATAATTCATACTTCTCACGTGTTTGCATGGCTGCATAAACGACAATTTTGAACTATCACGCCATATTTTGAGAGAGAGAATTTTAAAGAAATTGTGAACTAAAGAAAATAAAATAAAAACAGCCAATTGGAAGTTTGGAACTATACAATGTCACAAACTAAGCCCAACGGTCACATGGGCTTCGAGGACTTACTCCAAACGTGAAAACATTTATAACAAACTACGCTCACTCTATACATATCCCGCGCCAAACACTCCACTCTTTGCAATCTTCACTTCACTCTCTTTTCCACTCACACTCAGCATGGAAAATTGCAGAAAATCTCCACTCAAACCATGGAAGAAAGGCCCCGCGAGAGGAAAAGGTGGCCCCCAAAATGCTATGTGCGAATATAGGGGCGTTCGACAAAGAACCTGGGGCAAATGGGTCGCAGAAATCAGAGAGCCAAAGAAGAGAACCCGACTCTGGTTAGGCTCTTTCGCCACTGCTGAAGAAGCTGCAATGGCTTATGATGAAGCTGCACGGAGGTTGTATGGTCCCGATGCTTACCTTAATCTACCTCACCTTCGATCAAACTTCAACCCTTTGAACAAATCACAGAAGTTCAAATGGTTTCCTTCAAATAATTTCACCTCGATGTTTCCCACTACAGGATTACTAAATTTAAACGTGCAGCCAAATGTACGTGTCATTCATCAAAGGCTCCAAGAACTCAAGAAAACTGGAGTTTTTGGACAGTCATCTTCATCAAGCTCATCATCCAGCGACCCTAAAATCGATATCCAGAGCATAAACGATCAACCTCAAGTAGAAAATCCTCAAATAAAAAGGAAAGATGCTGAATTTTCATCAGAAAGTACCTTGACCAATTGTCAAGAGAAGCCACAGATTGATCTCAATGAGTTTCTCCAGCAGATGGGGATACTAAAAAGAGAGGAACAGCATCAAGTAAGTAATGACTCCAGTAGTCTCACAGATATAGAATCATCATCCAAAGACAATGAAGGATTTGCTAGCTTTGCAGATAAAAATTTTAATTGGGACACACTGAGTGAAATAGCTGGAACAGAGATTCATCAAGAAACAGAGTCCACTAGTTTCCCTGCATACGATATTAATGAAGAACTGAATTTTCCCCCATCTATCTGGAACTTCTAAAAGAATTATAGGATTTTATAAAAGGACTAGTCCATGCTATAGTAATATTATTCACTTATATAGCCTAGTTCTGTCCATGTCTGATAGCAGCTAACTTTTGAAGAGACAGAGTTGGAAAGAGCCAAAGAAAACAAGGATATTGACGTGCCAATCAGAATGCTAATGATGGACAGTTGCAAATGTCTTTTATCTGTTTATCTCCAGAGATTCAGGGTAATTTTGATTCTGTCCAATTATGTACTCATGTATGGAGAATACAGAGAGAAAAAATAGGGACAAAACGCCATAACTTTTAATGTAGCTCCAATGCAAGGTAATTACTGGATGAGAGATGAATCTGCATTTATTAGATAATTTTTGTAAGATCAAAGAAAATCTGTTGCTAGATGAAAAAATAAAAAAAGAAAAATCAAACTAGTGAATATAATCACGTTTTACAAGAAACAAGCTACACTCAAAAAGAGAATGATCATTTGATCTATAAATAACTAACAATATGATTAAGTAACTCCTAGAAAAATTAGTTGCCCGTAAATAATCACAAATTCGAGTATTCTTCGTCCTTCAATGTAATTCTATACTGCAATTCCAATGTAAATAATTCTCTTCCATAAAAAGTTTTACATCGAAAGATCCGTAAATATTCACTGAAAGGCTTAATATGGTAATGACATGAACCAATGAACGTAAATCTGTATAAAAGATGAAGCTAAGAATATGAATAGCAGGTCAGAATAACAACCAAGTTGAGTTAATCAAATACATTACTTCCTATTGATAAAAGCTCAAAATTTCGATCATACTCTTCTGCCACGATTTCTTGCTCTCAAGTTAGGAAGGGATTTCATAAGCCATAAATCTCAAACATGTTCAGCTTGACAAAGCCTTCTCTTACTCCATCTGGATGTATTGGTTGTATTGCCATTTGATTCCTCCGTCATCAGCGTGTCTCCTCTCCCTAAAGTGCCTGTTTTTGCCGATATGTCTTAATACAGAGACACCTTCGATTCCTGTTCTCAAAGAATCATAATTATCTAACTAACTATCTGTCATTCATCATTAGAACTTTTTTTAGTACATATGTTTGTAGTTGAACCTAAGTCTCCTATTATTTATTACGTCTGTCTTCATAATCCAACTCTTCCATGAGCTGCTGCTCTCTAACACCAACAGCCTGCCCTTCTCTACTTCGCTAGGCTGTAGGATCGTACCGTTCATCTTCTAATCCCAAAAGTTTGGAAATTAGGTTTCTCCTACTCACCATCTTTGTCCCAAATACTCAGCCTTCATCATACTCCTCGAGATAATATTCATCCTCATCCCATTAAATCCTGCTGCAACTTCTCTTTAATCTTCTTTTTCTTTAAGTTCTTCAAACCTAAAATTATACTACCTCGTGTAATCCTTCTGCTTTTCCATCTCCGAAAACCCAATCACCCTTATTGTTATTTTTTTCCGTAATAAAAAACTTGTCCCCCACCCCCCATCCAATCTCTTTCTTTTTACTGTCATTTCTCACTCTCAAAATATTTCTTCATGTTCCAGTTACTATCACTGGGAGTTAACTAAATGAGTAATTACCAACATGTTTGGTTACTACTTCCTCGCTCAAAAATAAAAGATTATTGATTGCTCATTCAATTTTACAGTAAGATACACATCCATCGTCCATCTTAATTTCGTTCGTCCACCCGGACAAAAAATTCTACATGACAACAAACAATGTTAAAATTTGAGAGTTCATTGGGTAATCACCAAATTTTACCTTTAGTCACTACTGCTCATAATTCCAAAATTGTTAATGCGCCATCTATAATTCCAAAAACCCCTCCCTAAATTGTTAATGCGCCAGGGAGGAACCCTAAGTAGTGGGACCACTTTAATAATCCTAAACAGAAATGATAACAAAGTACTTATGTACCCAGTGAGACGAGAGACAANGGGAGGAACCCAAAGTAGTGGGACCACTTTATTAATCCAAAACAGAAATGATAACAAAGTACTTATGTACCCTGTTAGACGAGAGACCAATTTGCTACCCAAACATGACCTATATGCATTAGGAAAAAGGCACCAAATTTCTTGTTTTTTTGATAAGGCACCAAATTTCTTGTAAGCGATGTCTAATATGCATTATATACTAACCCAAGAAATGAAAATACAAAAAAGAATGTGTGTGTGTGTGTGTGAGAGAGAGAGAGAGAGAGAGAGAGCCTGGAAATGCTGCTGCTACTGTTCCCTCATTTTCTTCACTTCCTATACTTCTTCACCAATATTAAGTACTACTAATTGATGCATCTTAATACGTACCAAATACGAATGTAAATCTAGCAGTAACCACAAAATAAGTTAAGCTAAATATAAGTTGCCATAAATGATAATCTTCTTGCTCCTTTCCTCAGGCAGCCC